CTCTAGTCAGCCGGCAGGCCATTGGGGTGCCCAGGGCACAAGACAGCACCTGGCCCAATTCCTCCTGCCCCTGCCCCAAGAGCTTCTCCTGGCCACCCTGGTCCTGGGTCCTTGGGGCATGCGTGTGAAGCACTATAGGGAGGCTATGCTGTTTCTCTTGGCCCGTAGCGGTAGAATATAGTAAGGGGGATTGGTGCCAAACACAGAGAAAAGATAGTTCTTTTGTGCTGTTGATGTGATTGGGATAAATATGATACCACTGAACTAAATCCCAAGCCCTGGTTTTTGAGACAGGATCTTGCCACGTAGTCGAGGCTGGCTTGAACTCATTGTGTAGCCCTGGCTGGCCTTGAACTTGTAGTGATCCTTCTGCCTCAGCCTCCTGAGAGTTGAACTCATAGGCATGCATTACTCCAGCTAGCTCCAAATCTGGACTCTGAGGACTGAGAGGATGTTAGAGCTCCTAGGCTGGGGTGGGGCTTACATGCACAGCTGACCCGGTCCTTAGTGGGGACAAAAACACAGGCTCCAGCCATCAGCCAGGCCACTAGGTGAGGGTCCCCTTAGCTAGAGTGCGGCCCTCCTGATCATCGTGTGTAGATACTGGTGGTGCTGAAGCCCTCACCCGTCTGCTTCCTAGAACTATGTGAAGGCCATGCGGCTGTTCGTGGGTGAGCCGGTGTGGACAGCATACAACCGGCCAGCCGAGCACTTCTCTGCCCGGGAGCAGTATGTGAAGTTCCTGGAGCAGACGGTATAGCTGCCCAGAGCCATCGTGTGGACCGAGGCCCATTTCTGTTCTCTGCATGATGATCTGATCAGAATTTTTTTAATCAACTGATTTTCACTCAAAGCAACTAGAAATGCAGACATCACTGTGATCTTCTCTACTAATCAAGACCAAGGTACAGGAGCCTCAGGTGGTACTAGCACTGCTCTGTGCCTCAGTACAAGCTTCGGCCCTGAGCATGGCTGCTGGGGATCGTGTGAGTGTCACGCCATGGCCCACAGACAGGGCCCGGCCCGAGGCGCTGCTTCTCTCCAAGCTGCAGCTGGCACGGGAGGGTGCACTAGGCTTCTTCTGCCTTGTCCTTGTCTCAATAAAGTCATTGCCTTAACTATGCTCCGTGGAGTTGCTCGTGTTCCTGTAGCTCACATCTCGGCCCAGTATTAGCAGGATACAGTGGCCCGGGCTTTCTGGCCCTCCACAATTCTGCCGTTACACTGGAAGTAGCCGAGCTTGGCTGAGTTCACTCCTGGTCAGGATCAACTGACTCCAGCTAAATTCTTCTCCTCTGAACCGTCTGTTCTCTTCAGCATGGATATACTTGTGCCCTCCTCGTCCTGCAGCCCTGCCTGCTTGATGCTTGCTACCAGCAGTGTCCCAGGCCTGCCCAGTTTCCCCACTTCCCACACTGGTAATGAATAAACCCTGGATGTCCTGGGATCCTTTGTCTTTGCTGCCCAGAGTGGCTTCGATCAGCCCAAGACTCAAGTTCCCTCAAGTCTCTGCCTTGTTTATTTCCCGCTCTCCTGTCTGGAGGATGTCATACTGGCTCGCAGGAGACCAGGACTGCCACAGGGGTCTCTGTAACGTCCCCTTTCCCACTCTAACACAGCATGAACGCCCGTTCCCATGCTTTGTGTGCCTGTGCCTGCACAGCTAGTGGCTGTCACCTGTGGTGTCCAGGCTGAGAGCTCTTGGTCCTTTCACAGACAAATCTAAGACAGGAAAGACTGCTCCACCCAGGACAGCTACGGGTGCACTGAACGCTCGTCTGGCCCATCGGACATGTTGCTTCCAACCTATATCTCTCTCACACAAACACGAATATGGAGATGTAGTTGTGCCTACTTTGCTGCAGTCACAGGGAAACATCTAGTCCACCATGCATGGTGGCGAACGCCTGTAATCCCAGCATTCAGGCCGAGGCGGGAGCATCTGGAGTTCAACGTAAGGCTGATAAAGCAGGACCTTGCCTCAGAACAGGAAAACCCCAATCAACTTCATCTTTTAGAGGGGCATGTAGTTTTCTAAGTGTTTTAAAAGACTGGATGTGAACGCTTCCTGTTAAAATGCATATCAAAGCTGGATGAGGTAGGACAGGTCTGTAATCCCACTACTCTGGGAGGCTGAGGCAGGAGGATCACACATTCCAGAGCAGCCTGGTCACCTCGGTGACCTTGTCTCAAAAGGGCTGGGGTTGTAGGTCCAAGGGAAGGCCCTGCATTCAACTCCTGGTACTGGGTGTGGGATCACATCATCAGTTATCACCCATTTTGGCTGTGGGGTTCACACTGTGGGACTGGGGAAGTAGCTCAGGGTCAGAGCTCATGCCTAAAACCCTGGGTTTGATCTCTAGCACTGCAAAAAAAAGTTAAAAGAGTGAACAGAGCTGGGCGTGGTGGTGCAAGCCTGTAATCCCAGCACTCCAGATGCTGAGGCAGGAGGATCACTGAGACCAGCCTGGGCTACACAGTGAGTTCCAGGTCAGTCTCAACTACATAATGAGACCCTGTCTCAAACAACAAAACAAAACAACAAAAAAAGAGTGAACAGAGCTACAAGTTCAGTACTGGCATCGGAATAGTTTAGCACAGGACAGTGTTGGTGTGAGTGCACCAGAGCTCACCTGTGACCTGGGCTCCCTGTGTGGCTCTGGCCCCACCCAGCAGATCCCTTTGGGGCTTCTACTCTGCGGCCATGCTGTCACCTCCCGCCTCCTGCCCACACTGGCTCTGCTTCCCTCCCTCTAGCTCAGCAGGCTCGGGAAATCCAGCTGCCGGCAGGGACACAACCCAAGGCGTGGCCTCGAACTGTGCAGTCCCACTGTCCCGGGAGGTGGAGCCGCATGCCCTCCAGCCCTGCAATGGGCTCCAGGGCCCCCTGCCCTCCCTGCCTGTTCCCTAGCATCAGGCACTTTTTGCTTTGCTTTTTCTTTTGAGACAGGGTCTCACTATGTAGTTGAGACTGACCTGGAACTCACTATGTAGCCCAGGCTGGTCTCGAACTCACAGCAATCCTCCTGCCTCAGCCTCCCGAGTGCTGGGATTACAAGTGAGCACCACCATTCCTGGCTCATCTCATTTTCCTGATAGGGCTCCAGGGACTGGAATGAAGCTCTTGTGCTCATAAGTCTGTGGTCCGTAAGAGCCTCTGCAGGGTACATGGTGAATCATTAAAACATCTTGCCATGATGGGCATGAGGAGGGTTTAATTGTTTGGACTTGGGAGTCATTTTCTAGTGCCTGGAACTTGGCAGAATTTAGAAGTGGTTGGGGTGGAGGAGGTGGGTGGAGCACCTGGTGGATGGGTGGGCCACGGGCCAGGGGAGGAACAAGGATAAGGGATGGGGGAGATTTAGCTCAGTGGTTCCGGTGCCTGCCTCACAAGTGCAAGGTCCTGAGTTCCTTCCCCCTGTACCAAAAAAAAAAAAAAAAAAAAAAAAAAATGTGGCGGGGAGATGAGTCTGGCTCCTGTCACCCAGACTCCGAATGTTAAATTCAGATGTGCTCTGCGACTCATGTTTCTGAAAGCCTTTGTCCTCGGAGTATATTGCATACGAAGCTGTAGAAACTCAGAATAATTTTAGCACTTACACAGTAAAAATTACAAGAACTAAGAAACTATGTCAGGGTGAATGGGAGGAGAGCAGGCACAGCACTTGCCCTGAAGAGGGTCCTGCGAGGGAGCCTCGCTGGCGCTTCCTGGTGTTGGAGTGTGATGGGGAAAACGCCAACGGCAAGAACAGCTTATGTTTGTGACTCTTCCGCATCTTTGCCAGGCGTGGTGCAGGCCTGTCATCCCAGCACTCTGGGAGGCTGAGGCAGGAGGGTTATTAATTCGAGCCCAGCCTGGGCAATCCAGAGACTTAGCCAGGACAGGAGCTCTGGAGGTCCTGGCTGACTGCCCAGTACTGTGTGTGCATGTGCGCATGCACAAACACACACACACACACACACACACAGACACGCACATGTACAAGTAAGATGCCCGGGACAGTGGGGAAAGGGCCTTCACTGGTCCACCTGTGTCGCAGGCCCAGGGCCTAGGCCAGCTTGAGGCACTGCGTGTTGAAGCTGTCGCCCTCCTTGCTGGCCACGGCCTCCAGCAGGCTCTGCTTCTTCTGCACGCTGCGCGAGGACTCCAGCTCGTACATGGTGGTGAGGTTGAAGAGCACACTCTCGTGCAGGTAGTGCCGCGGGTCCTGCCGCACCATGGCCTCCAGCTGCCGCAGCGAGTCCTTGAGCCTGCCCAGGTACAGCAGGCACACTGCAGCGTTGTTGTTGGCCTGCGGGAGAGTGGCTGTTCGGGGAGTGCATGGATACCGGCCCACACCATCCCAGGGTGTCCTGGGCCAGCTCAGATACCCTGTTTTTATTTATTCATCCATGTTTTTTTGAGACAAGGTGTTGCTGTGTAATTCAGGCTGGCCTTGAACTCACTATGTAGCGCAAGCTGTCCTGGAACTCGGGGATCCTCCTGCCTCAGCCTCCCAAGTGCTGGGATGACAGGTGCCACCATGCCCCATTTGGCTTCGATTTCTGGAGCACACATTTTTTTTTTTTTTTTTTGGTACCAGGGATCAAACTTGGAACCTTGTGCTTGCTAGGCAGGCGGCATAACCACTAAGCTAAATTCCCCAGTCCTGGAGTACACATTTCTAGTGTCTGCAAAGTGCCCCAAAAGCCACAGGTCCCATGGGGATGGGTCTGTGGCTGGGCATCTTACCACTGCATTGGTGGGGTCCAACCTCAGGATCTCTGTGAAGTACCGGTGGGCTTCTGAGAAGTTGTTCTGGCCAAGGTGCAGGAAGGCCCTGAATGCGGGAGACAGCGGGCAGTGAGCTGGAGAGCCAGGCACCCAGCTCCACCTTCCTGGCTCCAGCCTGCCCTGCCCTGTTCTTAGCAGGGTCTCCAGAACCAGTGGACCCAGGACCAGCATGGACATCTGCACCTCTGTTGAGCACAGGGCTGGGCAGACACAGAAGGTAGGGCCTGTGTGCTTCCTGTGCCTCAAGCACAGGCTGGGCAGGGATGCATTCTCCGGGGAACAGTGGGGCCTGTGGGAATGCCTGAGATCCCATGCACCGTGAAATACTTACCTGTTCATCAGAACCATGGTTTTACCCTGCGGCCCATCCAGTTTCTGCGTGACTCTCTCCACATCTTGGAAGTACTTCTCGGCTGTTTTTATGTCTCCAATCTGCTCGTCTGAGATCCCATGCACCGTGAAATACTTACCTGTTCATCAGAACCATGGTTTTACCCTGCGGCCCATCCAGTTTCTGCATGACTCTCTCCACATCTTGGAAGTACTTCTCGGCTGTTTTTATGTCTCCAATCTGCTCGGACAGAACGAGTCAGTCAGGTCGGCAGATGGGAAAGGAATTAAATGCATACCCGCTGCTGTGCCCTCGGCCAGGCCAGGCCAGGCCAGGCGGGGGACCCGCGGTGGCTGTCTGTGATTAGCCTAAGGCAGGAGGCATCTGGGGTGGGGAGGACAGCACCTTCTGGGCAGAACCTCGGCAGTTAACAGGAGCTCCTGCTCTGAGCTCCTACAGCCTAGGAATCTGAGTCCTCTAGGACGAATCCCAGTGCAGAATTAAGTAGAAATACAGTGCATGCCTGGCACCCTGGCACTAGTGAGGCTGAGGCAGCCTTCCTCCCCATCCCCTGTTTGATTTTTAAATTTTTTTTAGTTTTATTTTTTTTAGACAAGGTCTCACTATGTAGTTGAGACTGATCTGGAACTCACTATGTAGCCTTGGCTGGTCTCGAACTCACAACCATCCTCCTGCCTCAGCCTCCTAAGTGCTGGGATCACAGGTGTGTGCCACTGCTCCTGGCTCTTTTGCTTTTTTTTTTTTTTTTTTTTTTTTTTTGAGACAGGTCTCGCTGTGCAGTTCAGGCTGGCCTCAGCCTTGGAGTGCTGCGATTACAGGCATGCACCACCACACCTGGTGCCTCCGTATTTCTCTCCCTGAGTCACTAATTTGCCCAGGCTGGTCTCCAACTTGCCCTCCTGCCTCAGCCTCCCAGAGTGCTGGGATCATAGTCATGTACTGTTACGCGCCACTGAATCATTTTTCATGCTTGGTCCAGACTTTCTAACTGCTGGTACTATCCCTAAAGCTCTCTCCCTCAGTGTGCCTCCAAGTCTCTGCCGCGCCCCTGGCTTCCTCAGGGGGTCCAAAGCCAGCAGGGGCCCTCAGGAGCTTCTGCCCCACCCACTGCGCCGGGCGCATCCGGGTACCTGCTGGGACCCACCACCTGGTACCTGGAGGAGGACGCGGCCGATGCCGCTCAGCAGCTGTGGCTCCTGCTCGGGGTAGTACTGGATGACAGCGCGGTAGGCGTCCACGGCCAGCACGTACTCCTGTGCGACACAGACAGGGCAGGGCGTCACAGGTGCAGCGCGCTGCGGGAAACGAGGGCTGCGAGCCGGCGGGGGGGCCAGGCAGGGCTGGGTGGGGTGCCGGGCCCATGGTGGGGTGCCGGGCCCAGTGCACTCAGGACACATCGTGCAGATTTTGGGGGGTGGGGCAGGTAAGTGGATTTCTCATCGTTAAAAAGCTAATGAAAAGTGATTTCCCTGTAAAAGAGATGCTTCTCCAAATAACTAAACGGCTGTGGTTTTAAAATAAGCCATTGTTAGCCATGCATGAAATTAAATGACCACCGCAGTTGTAATACAGCGTAGGCTCACTAGAGGGCAGCAGCGCGCACGTGCTCCACCCTTCCCTTCCGGGACATTTTTCACTCCTTTAACTGCAATTTCAAAGCCAGCCACAATAAAAGTATTTTTAAAATACAACCATGTGTTCTGTTCTGAGTCCCAACAATAGGTAGATACGTTAGGTTTGGTGCCTGGGGTCATCACTGCTGCTGTACAACCATGAAAGACATTTTGTCCCATCATTTTCTAGGAATGCATCTTAAAGATGCAACGAGCTGGGCAGCAGGCTGGCCTCTTCCCCCTGAGGTCCTGCCCAGGACTCACCCAGCACCCGCCGTGGGATCTGTAATTTGCCTTGCATTTCTCCCTAACAGTTCTGTCAACTGGAATTCAGTGAGCTGCGGGGCTGCAGGCCAGGCCGGATCAGCCTGCGAGGCTTGGGGTGACAACAGAGGTGGGGTGGGGTGGGGAGCAGATGTGGTGCTCTGTAGGGTGGGGACAGGAGCACAGCCCAGGGCTGCTGGGAGAGGTGCCGGGCCCGAGGGCCAGAGGAAGGGGAGGAAGAGGGGCGGCAGGAGGGAGAGGCCTCCAGGCACAGCCATAAGGTCATGGCCTGAGTGCTCCTGCCCTAGAGGCCCAGCTGGGGGACGGATGAGCTGCCTCTGCTCTGCTTGGTACCCCCGGCCCTCTGAGGGCCGCAGGGAGCAGACTTCTCCAGTGGCAGCTCAGTGGTCACCTGGGAAGCCCGGGAATTGCAAGGGGCAGGAGGAGCTGTGCTCTGAAGCAGCCCTGAGATGTGTACCTGCTGCTCTGGCATTCCTGTAGGGCACCGGTGCCCACAGTTGGCAGCTGCACCGGGCTGGGGGGCAGCGAGGGGCGGGGCAGGCGGGGGCCAGCAGTGTTATACCTGCTGGCTGCTGGGGCAGAGAGCTTGGGAAAGATCGAAGGGGTGAGGAAAGACACACCTCAAAGGGCACCGCTGTGGGGCGGCCAAGGGGACTGGGCAGCTCCAACCGAACCATTTAGACCCGGCTTGCACAGTGAGACTTGGTAGCTCGAACCCTGCTTTCCGGAGATCCCTCTAGCAGCCACCCCTCCAGGGCCATCACAGCCCCGGCACCCACCTTCATGAGGAGCAGGCAGTTGGCCATGGAGTACAGCACCCGGCCCAGGCGCGCCCGCCACAGCTGCACGGAGGCTGGAGAGACAGAGGGCAGCTGTAAGTGTCGGACCCACTGCCCCGTTGACTCAGCCCTTCTGCTGAGGAAGAGACAGCTGACCCTGAACCGCCAGGACTCCAGGTCAGGTGCACGGCCTGCAGCTGGAGCTGCCGGCACCCCCTGGGCAGGGGAAGGGGTTTCTCCCCGGAGCTGGCTCTGACCTGGGAAAGTGGCCGGCCCTCCTGGACATGCCCCCCCCCCGCATCTTTTAACCAGAATCCTGCCCCCCCCCCGCATCTTTTAACCAGAAACAGAAGCTCTCTGCTCTCTCCTGGGGTGCCCTGTTCATTGGCCAACATCCACAGACCCCAAACCTCCAGGCTCACCTCCTGCACTGCTCTCGGGGCCTGGAAGGGCCCCAGCAGCTGCTGGGTGAGGGCAGCCGACCAGTGTGAGGACACAGGGGTGAGGCCTGGGTTGGGGCTCAGCTGGCTCCAGGGTTTATGTTGTGTTGAAAATGAGGCTGTGGCCCCAAGGGTGGAGATGTCACCTGACCCTGTCCTGGGCTGTGTCCCCTCCTTTAAGAGGGACCCACACACGAGCCAGGGATGTCATCCAGCCTGCTGTCCCAGCACTGAGAGGTTGAGGCAGGAGATTGGACGCCTGGGCTATACAATGAGTTCAAGGCAAGGATAGCAAGAAATTCATAGTGAGATCTGGTGTCAAAACCAAACATGAAAAAGCAGAGGGATCTGATCAGGACTCAGGCCAAGACACGAGGCTAGAAAGTGGGTGGTGGAACGGGAAGGGGCACCTGGCTGTCAGCTCAGCTCCGGGCCCGTGGCCTCTTTCCCTGGACAGGGGTCCCGCTGCCCTGCGGTCACCAGAGGTCAGAAGGGTTGGGAACACAGCCTCCTGCCTTCCCCGCACCCTCCCCACCCACAAGGGCTCCTCCAGGCTGGGGAAGGCCCGGCAGCCCCACCCCACGCGTGCATTTCCCCCACAGCCCTGAGTCCCACTTCCCCGTGTGCCACGCAGCCCTCAGGTTTACCAGACAGGACTCGAGCTGGGAGTGGGAGCTGCAGGCCGAGGGGTGGACAGTTGGGCTCCAAAGGGCCCCAAAGTTCACATTTGGTGAACTTAATCCCCAAGGGCCCATGTGGATGCTATCTGGAGGTGGGGCCTCTGGGAGCAGAGGAGTTCAGGAGAGGGAGGGACCCCGTGACACCTGCCAGGTCAGGGGCAGCAGGACGGCCTGGCGGAAGCCAGGGCTGGGCCCTGAGTCCCCGCGGCACACAGACCTGCCTGCTCTTCACACGTCCCTGTCCCAGGCGCTTCCTTACAGCCAAGGACAGGCCGGCAGTGCCCGCTCTTCTCAGTCCAGTCCGCTGCCGCAGCGCCCTGTGGCCACCCCGTGCCCCCCCAGCCCGAGTTCCCCCAAACCTGCCCCTATGATCAGTGGGCAAGGGACTCTGGCTCCTTGCAGCGCAGCCACCAGGCCGGCCCCTGGGGAAGGGAACCAAGGACGGTGAGTGGATGGCGCCCTGCAGGACGAGAAGCTGGAAGCCAAGAGCGGGGACTCTCGAAGGACTGTGCTGGTGACCCAACAGCCCCCTCAGGCTCACCTTGCCTGCTCTCCGGGGTGACGCTGCTCGGGCCCCCGTCTTCCGCCAGGCCCTGCTCCAGGTTCACCAGGATCTGCAGTTGTGGCAAGCACAGGGACAACTGTTAGAAAAACCCCATGATGCACTGAAACCTCTACAAGCTGTGGGCTAAATAAACCTTTCCTCCTTTAACTTTGGGTGTTGGGCATTTCCTCTCAGCAAGAGAGCAGTGACTAAGATACCCTGTCTGAAAAAAGCAAAAGAAAACACAAAAGCAAAGCGCCCCGGACACTGAGCATAGGGAACGTGGTTTTGCTTTTGAGAAAAGCACCAAGCTTGCTGCGAGTGAAGAGTGATTACTGACTACATGGAAACCCCAGTCTCCTTCCCGCCAGGACCATGAGGCCATGTGTCCTTTCTCAACGTCCCTGAGGAAGGGGCACAGCTGTCCCTGTGCCTGGCCTTTTGCTGGTTAGTAGCCTTGGGAGCTGCTTCTGCGTTCTGGTTTCCCTGTGGCTGCCACAGCCGCTGTAGAGTGGGCGACTTTCCCTTCCTTTTGAGGGGTGAGATGAGGACAAAAGTTCCTGAGAGGAAAGACTGTTTGCTAGGGAAAAAAATGGGAGCTACGAGAGCCGGTGAAGGTTCTGACGCAGTTCCGTGAAGACTACCCTTGAGCCACAGCCTGGACACCTATGGTCAACAGCACAGGTGCCCACCAAGCAGTGCAGCATTTGGTGTCACCGTTTCCTGAGAGCCAGGGAACAATCCTTGGGGAATCCTGGGAGGGAGCTGCCTTCACCCAGGTCTCAGGGCAGTCTCCAGCCACTCTGCCGGTAGGCAGGACCTCAGCTGACAGGACCTCGCAGGCAGGGAGGAGGCTGGGTGCAGACATCCGACTCCCCGGGGGGAGGAGATGGGACAGGTGGTCAGGACAGGCGGTCAGGAGTCAACGGGAAGGCTGGTGACCACAGGCAGGGGAAAAAATCAGGGAAGAAATCAGAGCTAAAGAGAGTGACAGAGCGAGATGGATCTTCCCACCACCCTGCTACAAGGGCTCTGCATCCAGAATTACAGGGGATGCTACAAACAGAACAGACAAGTCAGTTAAAGATGGGCAGGGGACCTGAATATGTATTCTCCAAAGCAGAAGCAAATGGCCAGGGAGGACATGAAACTGCTCAATGCTGTGAGCCAGAGGGGGATGCAAACCAAAACTCCGAGATGGGGCTGGGGATGTAGTCAGCAGCACAGCGCCTGCCTTGCAACTGCAAGGTCCTGAGTTTTATCCCCAGTACCAAATAGTAAATAATAAATAAATAAATAAAAAACAAAACATAACAACAACAAAATCCTCCAAGATGGTATCTCAACCCATTGAGAAGCGGTTCCCAAAAGAAGGAAAAAGGCTGCTGAGGCCAGGGAGGAAGAGGAACTCTGCTACCCTGCTGCAGGAGGCAGATGGGTGCTGTCCTTACGGTGAACAGTAAAAACAGACCTTCCTGTGATCCAGCAATCCTGCTCCTGGCCCAAAGACAGGGAAATGAGCCTGCCCAGCAGACACCCCCATGCCCACCTTCCCTGCAGCACTGTTCACGGTGGCTCAGGCACAGAAGTAAGTTTTGGTGCCCACCCACAGATGCAGAGGAAGAAAACGTGGCATGCACAAAATGGAGCATTACACAGCCATAAAGAAGAACGAAATCGGTGCCGGGCGTGGTGGCGCACACCTGTAATCCCAGCACTCGGGAGGCTGAGGCAGGAGGATTGCTGTGAGTTCGAGACCAGCCTAAGCTACATAGTGAGTTCCAGGTCAGTCTCAACTACATAGTGAGAACCTGTCTCACCCCCCCGCCAAAAAGAACTAAATCCTGCCATCTGCAGCCAGACTGATAGGACTAGCAGACGTTATGTCAAACACAGGAGCACAAGTACCATGTGCCCTCTCTCACGTGGAAGTTAAAGAGCTGGCGGGAATGTGACTGGTGATGGCTAGAGGCTGGGAGCGTGCAGGCACAGGGGCTGGGTGTGCTAACGGTCTACTTAGACATGTTAACCAAAAATACTACCATAGCCGGGGATTTAGCTCAGTGGCGCCTGTGCTTGCCTCAAATACACAAGGTCCTGAGTTTGATCCCTGGTATGGGGTGGGCAGGGAGAGCTAGGAGAAATATGAATGTCCCCAAATTCAGTTTAGTGTTTGGAAATGTGGAAGGGGGTTAGGGGAAGGGAGAAGAATGTGGGCAAAGGGGGCAAAAATCGTAAGGGTACCATCCCACACACACACCAGTTCTGAAAATGAATTATTATATATCAGGTATACCAATAAAAATTATAAAACTAAATTTTTTTTCCACTGAACAAGAGCAACAAGGGTGTGGGGAAGAGGGCAGAGGCCAAAAGTTTTGTTTCTGTTTTAAGTAAAAAAGAAATCCCCGTTCGTTTTAAGCTGCTGGCTTTGCACTGATCTGTCACACGGCAGCCGGGAACTGGTGCTCAGCTGAGCAAGGTTTCTTGTACTTTTACTGAAGGCTCCTGGGAGGAACAGCACATGGGTCAGGGTGCAGCTCTAGGGGTGTTCAGGTCGCACCTGGGTCCTGCGAGGGCCCCTTCCTGGGGTCTCTGAAACAAGGCTGTGGTGGGGCGACACAGTCCCAAGAGGCTGTGATGGGGGTCCAGGAGCAGGGACAGAGGCGGAGCTGGGGGGTAAGAGGGGGCCCCAGATGCAGTCTGTGGGGAGGCAGAGCTGAGGGACGGGCTGCACCCCAACAATGCAGACAGCTGCCAGTACCCTTGTGGGGGCGGCTGGGAGACCCGGCGGTCTGAATTCGAGCCTGCTGATGTTCAGTGCAAGGAGTGAGTGAGACGCCTGGAAGGGACACGCCACTCTGGCTGCACACGTGACCAGCCCTGCCGCCACACAGCCGAGAGGTTAGAGGACCCCAGCCTTGTTCTGCATACCACATGGTTCCTGGGCGGGGCGAAGTGGGTGTCCTGACCCGGCCCCACGGCAGGCCAGGAAGAAAGGGCCGCAACACTGTGGGTGCACGGGACAGGTGTTACTCGCAGTCTCTGAGAGTCGGGCATGGACTCCAGGACCAGGGGGAAAGGGAGACCTGGCTAAGAGAGCACTTCCTGTTACCTGGGGCGCTTGGCCATGGTACCTGGGGTGGGACCAGGCTGCAGAGCAGTAGAAGGGCAGGGGTGAACTCAAGACTACACCAGGCACAGCCAGGCTGGACGGTGTGACCTTGTGTTTTTAAGAAGTTGTAATTTGGGGGCGCTCCTAAGGGCTGCTGCAGTTAGCCCCACACTCCTTCCCTCAGCCGGTGGGGCGCTGTGTGGCAGGAGGAGGGGCGCACGCGGGACCCTGTACAGGGGCCCAGGTGTGGGCTGCTGGGTGCACTGGCCAGGCCTCTCGGCCCCAGTCTCCTCTGACATCCCAAGGGGCACAGCTGCTCCTGGTGTAACTGCTGCTGGCTGGGGCCCCTGCGTTAGCATCCGGAGGGACAGCTCTCACCGCAAGCGTTTCAATGCTGCCGCCAAAGCAGACAGGCGCTCAGGCATGCACGCATGCGGTGGGTGTGAGTGAGTGTGTGAGTACGTGCATAGGCAAGTGCGCACCCAAGGCCCTGCAGGGGCAACCAGGCGCAGGCTCTCGTGTGCAACTTCCACAGGAGGCGAACAGCCCACCCTGCTCTTCATCTCCCCAGAGTTGGAGGGTCGGGGATTCGGGGCCCTGGCTGTACCAGCAACCACCCTCCCACCCCGAAAATGCCTCCAGCAGGAGCAGTGGGGACCGCAGCCACCAAGTCAGGAGGCTGGGGCTTTGGGGAGGAGGTGGTGGGCAGCGTGCCAGGCAGGGCCAACGCACCTGGCTGCAGACTGTCTTGATGCAGTGCAGTCTGTCCAGTGACTCCTGAGGGCTGCCCAGGTACTGCTGCAGCTCTGCGTGCAGGATGCGCATGGAGAAGGGCACCATGGAGCCTGCAACCCAATCACAGCCGTGTCAGTTGCCCGCCGAACTGCACAGCAGGCAGGTAACGACTGCATGACACGTGAATGTCAGCTGGGTTTCTAAGTACCGGCAAACAACAACAGGAATTAAAAGCAGGATGCATTGACATCTGCACCACAACAAACCGAACACATAGCGATCGATCTGAAAGACACTATGAAGAAAATGAAATCTGCTGAAGAAATCAAAAGGTCTGAGTGGATGGACAGACATCCCGCATCCATGGACCGAAAGACTCGAGGGTGTCAGAAGTCATTTTCTCAAAACTTGGTGCACAGATTCAATGTAAAGACTCAGCAAGCTGTGTTGTGGGTATCGACTGGCAAGATGATTCTCAGGTTCATATGAAGAGGCAAAGAATTGGGAGCTTCTCTGCCTCCTGTGACCTGAGCTGCCTGGAATCAGCCCTGGGCGCTGCAGTCTCACCAACAGTGGGGTTCACAGAGAGGGAGCGCTGAGGCCTGGGGACCAGCAAACTGCTTCAAGGCGGCCCCGTGAGGCTGATGGGAACTGCCAGGCCATCAGAGCCCAGTGCAGCTCCTCTCCTGGATGAAAAGACAACTTCCTGATTTTACACCATTCATCGCACGTCCTGTTATGAATCCTCTGAATGGGTAAAAATGATGCCCGATATTTAAATGAAATATACTAAAGCTCATTCATAGAAATTATTTGTCTGTTTGCATTGCTGTAACCTTCCTTTTAAAACACATTTTAATGACTTGTTTTGCTTATATATTGGGAGCTAAAATGAAATGAATGCATCAAATTCTTAATGTTTATGCTTGCTACTCCACAGAATGCAAAGAAAAATTAGCAAACACGCAGCATATTACTGTGAATGGGTGTTCGCACACTTCGGCGAAAATCTATGTATGATTTGTGTCCATTTCCTAATTTGAATTAGCTGCTTAATGATGCATAGCTGCTGCCTTCTCTCCATCCATCCCCGGCGGATTCACTTCAGGCCTCGCTGTCTGGGAGGAACGAACAGCCCAGCGCCGAGGAAGGACAGCAGCCGCACTGCACCTGCACACAAAAGTGTCAGGGCTGCGTTCGGGGAGAAAGGGGCCCTCTTCTCGCGAGGAGCCCGGGGGATCCTGGGCAGCAGCTGGGTTTACTGGCCCCGAGACCTCGGGGAGATGCAGGAGATGCAGGAGATGCCGTTTATGACTGCAGCACAGAGTAAAGCAACAGAGGCAGCAGGTGCCCCCGACAGGTGACGTTACTTCATCTGCATGGATTGGATCCCTGTGTCGCTCACGCAGGCACTGGGGCACAGGGCTGTAGCTGCCTTGTCCACAGGGAGAAGTCTGGGGCCTGCCATCCCCACCCACTGCCAGGACACGCTGCTGTCCTCGCAGCGCCCAACCCATGGCCACTCCGTGACCCGCAGGGCCAGCCCTGCAAGACCCGCAGGTCAGCTGTGCATAAGGTGGATTTCGTTTTTAAGATTGGGACAAGGACAGCTGCGGATACCTAAGTGTGTGTAAATCAAAGCCAAGCAGGGCCCCCACGTCACACCCCATGCCTTACCCTTGCGCCCGGGGTACACGTGCGGGTAGTACTCATAGTACAGGTCTGGCTGGTCCAGATTCCCGAAGGGCTCGAACTCCATCTCGGCGTTCTGGAAGAGGCCCAGCTTCACCAGCAGCGCCAGCCTCACAAACCAAAGCTGCAACGCAGAACGAGACAGGCGGCAGGTTATGTCCAGGCATCCAGTCAGAAATCCCCTTTCCTTGTCCACCTGCTCTGGGCCTTGATTTCTAACTCTCAGAGACAGAGCTGTCTGTGGTCATCTGCATAAAGACATTCTGTCTGCTGTGTAAGGGGTGACTCGAAGGACCACGGTCTCAGGCCAGCTTCTAGGTGGGGGCCGGGGGCACCAGGACAGGGCCAGCACAGCAGCCACAACACCGTGCATGTGAGCACTCCTGGTGGCCGGGACTCAGACTGACTCAGGAAGGTGGTGTGATTCAAGTTAGCAAGCATAAGCTGGGGACCTGCAGAACTAAAGGGAACTGCTCTGACCTCAGTGATGGAAAAATGAGGTTCGCCGTGGCCATGGACGGATGAAGGAGTGAAGGAAATGGGATACACGTTCTCAGTGGAATACCAGTTGTACTTAAAAAGGAACCGGTTGTCTGCGACAATGTGTGTGAGTGCACAGTTCTGGTAAGTACGCCAGGCACAGAGACAAGTCCTACTTGATCTCACTTGTCCATGAAAGCCAAACATTTAGGTCCACAGAGTTCAGTGAATTTAGACATCAGACAGAGCCTCCGTACAGACTGCAGTGTCCCCTGCCGCAGGGAACCTCCCACCGCCCTCCAGCCCTCCAAAACAAAGGCTGTGTCCCTTCTGTGTCCCAGTGGCCCGGGCCGGTGCTCTGACCTGCAGCGAGTCTGTTGTGTGGCTGGTGGGCAGCCCACTCTTGCCGTAGCCCTGGCCGTGGGCGGTGAGGAGGCGTCCACACAGGTCGACAGCAGCCCTCCAGTTCCTGCAGCTCTACAAGATACAAACGGCCATCAGCACACACGCGTGCTCTTGCTCTGCACGAAGCGGCCCATCCAGCCATCCGGAGTTGCACAAGGTCAGGCGCTGGCCAGCCAGCACGGAGGACAGTGCCACTTGTCACTGCTGCAGTACAAGGTCCAGCTGGAACGACCGGATCACAACACTGAACATTGAGGCTTGGCACAGGCAGGGCTCTGACCAGAGAGCTCTCCCCGCCCACAGCGGACTCTACTGAGTTCCTCCATGCTGTGATTTCTGTCCACTTCAAATCAATAACAATTTTATCTGTGTGGTGGATCTACCGATTTGTATCTGGGAAATCTGCACGGACTATAAAATAAGGTTTCAGATGTCTGACTTTACTGTTTTATCGGTGAGAGCAAATCGATGAGCAAAGGTGATGTGTCACCGGCCAGCGGTCACCAAGGGCACAGCCAGAGCCCGGAGGCCCTGACAGAGACCCTGGCTCTTGAGTTGGGGCTGTGTGCATCTTGCCCCTGCACAGTTCAGAAAGCAGCACTGCTAGGCAACCAGACGGGACCATATCGGGAGAATAAGGAGTACCGAAGAGAGGGACTGTGCACCGTGCCTCAGATGTGGCTCTTTCACATGAGCGCCTCACACTTGGAAGAGGCTACTGGGCTCTGCGGGCAAAGTGGCAGCTGAGCCCATGGATGTCCCATCCAACAAGGACAGCGGACAGGGAGGCTGCGAGTCAGGCGGGCCAAGGGCAAGGACTTCCAGGAAGAGGGTGCGGCGGGGTGGGCACGGGGAGCAGACCAGTCCAGGCCAGCAGAGGGGCACAGGCAGGGGAGACCAGGGATGTGAGTGTGGACTCACCCGTGGGATAGGGGAAGGCCAGGAGCGGCAAAAGCCAACTTACAGCCCGCAGGCTGGGGCCTGGCACAGGCTTCTCCACATAGACTCTGCCGGCTGTGGTGCCCCCGGTGCCTTCTGTGTGGCAGGAGGGATTCCAAGTGCCGAGGCTGCAGAAAACAGGCCCCTTGGGCAGACAGTGACCCTCAGTTACCACGAAGGGGTGCGGCGGCCTGTGTGTGGGATTCCCAGGAGGGAGACAGGTTGGGGGCAGCCGCTCTGACCTCCAGAGATGCAGGCCTGGTCCACGGGTTACAGGACGGAGGATGGCACCAGGCCACCACCCTCCAGGGTCACACACAGCAAACACAGCTCTGTGCCCTTCTGGAGAAGACACTAAGAAAGGGAACCAACTGGGCGTGCTGCTTGGCACACACCCATTATCCCAGTGCTCTGGGAGGCTGAGGGAGGAGGACTGCAAGTACAAGACCAGCCCCGGGCAACTGAGACCCTGGCTAAAGTCCCCAGTACTGGAAAAAAAAAAACTGAAGGGCGGGGGGGGCGGGGGGAAGTCCCCTAACTGTCCCCGTGCAACTCTGGCGTGTTCTCCCCCCAGTGTGAGCCCTCTGGGCCAGGACCAGCTCTGCCCACTCTGCAGGAGCCCCGGCTCCGCCCGCCCTGGCCCTGTGGTGTGTGTGGGTGGGCGCTTGTTCGAGCATTCACCACAAGGAATGGAGCTGGATGAGCTGCACTGTGGGTGCTCCTCGGCGCCCCCTCGGCTGACACTTGCGGCAGCTCCCCCTTTCTGGGGAGGAGACTGGCACACACACGACGCGGCTGGGCTTTCTGCTACGGAAGCTGCCCCCAGAGCCTGAGAGCCACGGATGCAGACTCCAGAGAGACAGCGCCATGGAGCGCAAGGCTTCTGTTCTGTGGTCTGGTGGGCAGCTCAGAAATATTTTTAGATTGGGCAAGTTAATTTACTTAGAATGCTTTCTCCAGTCGAAACTGAAGCAGTAACTAACTGCTTTATGTAATGCAAGTGGTTGTGCATTTGCTTTGAATTGCAAATGCCGGAAGATCTGTAGCCAAGTCAAGCAGGGCCCACAACCAGCTGTAGGCAAGTTTGGCCTCCAGGTCACTCACACACACTGGCCTCACTTGCTGGGGGCGGAACTAGGTCGGGACAGGAAGAGCTGGCTCAGGGAGTGGGGGACCCTGGAGGAGGAAATAGCACCAAGCTTGGGAGTGAGGAGTGGGCGTAAGGGGAGGGGATGGCGGGGACAAGGTGAGGCCACACAGGGAGGGGGACGAGCAGGAGGCAGGGAGGCCAGGCCCTGTCCCACTCACAGGCTTCCAAGGCTGGCGAAGCAGCGACCCCACCCCCCACCCCGTGCTCCAGGCTCCCTGCATCAAGGGAGGCTGTCGGGGCCAGCAGGATGCCCCACAGTCCTGCGGTGATCTGCATGCAGCCTGTGGGCCACTGGTGCCACCACTGCTCCCACAGGTTACTGGAGCCAGCTGCAGTGGACTTGTCTGCTGCTATGGGCAATAAAATGGGCTGGGGTTTGGCCTGCTTTTCATTGCATTTCTCCTATAATTAATTACTAGTTTATATTGATCTTTACAAAAGTCACGACCTGCTAAAGATCGGAAATTCAAAAACCACAGAACCACCTTCCAGCACAGGGCCTGAGGAGTGAGGGTGACAGGGCTGGAGCCGTGAGACAGTGCAGAGGGGACCAGGCTGTGACGACCTGGTGTCTGTGGGGGGCGGTCACAGTAGAGACTCCGACCCAGTGTCCAGGTTGGGTGGGGAGACGGCAGCGAACTTGGTCCAGGAATAACAAATTAGGTTCTGTTCCAGGCGATGTGGAAGTGAGAATTCCAAGAGAAGAAAGGGCCATAGCTGGATGTGCAGGGCTGACCTTGGGGAGACAGGGGCAGGGCCAGCACAGGTCAGAGAAGTAAGGAGCTCCCGAGATGGTGCCCGTCAGAGAGGCGCCTGCGAGGGTCCTGAGACCCCAGTGAGAGGTGGCTGGACAGAGACAGGGGCCGGAAAAAGGAGGAGCAGCCATGGAGTTGGGAGCCCAGGATGCCTGGGAGCTGTCAAGCTGTCAAGGACAGTGAGAGGAGGCCGCAGCCAGGGAAGATGTGAGACCAGGTGTGCTTTTAGTCAGGTCCTGAGTGTGAGCAGGCAGCTGGAGTGGGGTGGAGCCCACATGGGAGGAAGGGCCAGGCAGCAGTGTCTACAGCAGGTGGCAGGAGCTGTGAGAAGCCAGCAGGGGCGGCTGGGACCTGACCGGGAAAAGGGAAGATGTGGGGAGTGCAGATGAGGGGAGACATTTGGGATGGAGACAGTGATGTGAGGCCCCTTAGCTGACCCGGAGCCCAGCGGCTTCTGGGCACCAGGGTGGGCACACGCGGCTCTGTGCCAGCACTGGTGCCCGAGGGCTGCAGGCTGGACCTGTCAGGAGTAGGGGCTGCCGAGCGGGGTCTGTTTGCAATGAAAGGATAAAAGAGCAAGTAGTTCAGGGTGTAACAGAAGCTTTTTTGAAACCAGGACCATGGAAACCATGCTGGGTGAAGAAACAAGTGGAGAAGTAAGGTGTGGATGCCCAGGCAGCCGATTAGTAGGCTGGGTGTCCAACAGGCAGGCACAGGACACCATGGCCAGAGCAGTGCCCGGGGAGGGCCAGGTGAGAAGGGGGCTCACAGGAAGTGACAAGCTTGGGGGGGTGACCACAGGACTCCAGGAGTGGGCCCAGGAGAAGCGGCCATATCTACATGGGAGAGGCCAGTGGAGACCGGAGCTTCCAGAACTGAGGGCCTGGTGCTGGCCAGGCATCTGGGACCCGGGCAAGAGCAAGGGAGGAAGGGCTGGATGTGACGATGGCAGGAAGCCGCACAGCAGACAGAGGGGCGTCAGACGGAAGTGTGCATGTTCATGCCCACGCTTGGGGGAGACACAGCTGAGGACGGAGCCTGCTGGCCACACGATGCCCAGGTGCTGGCGAGGGTGGCCGGGTGCTGTCCTTGACACAGGGGATGTGGGAGGAGCGGCAGGCCCGGGGGTGGCGCTGTGGGGCGGCCACAGCCCTGCTGCTTCTCCTCTCACACAGGGCACCTGTCTGGTAGCACGTGCGCCTCAGCAGCGACAGCTGTGCCCATGGCCTGGCTGGCACTTTGGGGGGAATCACAGAAGGCGGGGATGTGGAGGAGAAAGGGAGCCACTGTGAACAGCAGTGTCTGCGGCCTTACAGATGTCTTAGAACACACCCTGGTCTGTCTGTGTCTCCACTTTACTAACACTCTTAGAGCCGCGCGTGTCCTCAGGACAGGAGTTTTAATGATGTGTGAGTCAGAGACACCAATGCAGGCATCCTGTGCAACGTGACCTCATGCAGGACATCTGAAAGTGTGCCTCAGGCCAGCACTCGGCAGAGCTGTGGGCACCTGGGCCGACTGAGGGACAGCCTCCTAGCGTGCTGTCCAACGGCTCCAGCACTAGGTTTCCAGGGAAACTGTGGGACTCAGACACTCTGACATCACCCTCTTGTTCCACTACAGTAGAAAATAAACCCAGACCCCAATGGTTTTTATGACCAAGGATTCCACTTCCGGAGATTACACATGGAAGCAATATTAAAAGCTCGCAGGAGAGAGTATGCAGTAGGTAGACAAAGTGAATCTGCCAGCTCTCGTGGACAAAATCTTAGCTATAAAAGTTATAAATACGAATTATCGATACTACAAGCCAGGATGGCGACACAAGCCTGTAATCCAGCACTCGGGAAGCTGAGGCAGGATGATCACCTGGCGTGAGTTCGAGGACAGCCTAAACTACACAGCCAGACTGAGTTTCACTGAGCTCCTAGGTGTCTCCTGAGCTTCTTCTGGATGCAGAGACAACTGCTGACCTGTGTGCACCAGATGAGCACGGCCCTCAGTACACAGCAGGCACTTCCTCAGTGCGTGGCATAGTCCAGCCCATGTTCTTTATGAGTCTTGCGTGCCCAGTACCCACAGCCCTGTCGAGCCCTTCCCAGCTGTCCTCACTACCTTCCTCATCCTCTCTGTAAAATGCTCACTGAACTCCTCTCTGTCCTGTGAGTGCTGCCCAGGGCTAAAGCCACAGCTCAGACCCAGAGAAAACAATTACATCCATTATTCAA